CCACCAGCCTGCCTAAAGCTCACTCTTTAACATTTTATATATTTTTTAAGTTAACCTGCTTTGTTTTAAGGCAGCTTGATCCTTTCAGGCAAAGCCAGAGTTCTAAACCTGCTAGTCTTTATGCTAAGCTAAGCTAACTGCTGCCAACTTAATTACCAGCCTTACTATATATACCATATTGTTTCTCGCAACACAGGATTAAGTTCTTTCATAAAAAGGTGACCTGGAAAAATAACTTTCTTTTCTTTCCACACAGCCAGTTATTCTGAATCCCAGACTTTTCCTTTAGTAATTTATGAGAATAAAGCTAAGAATTATATTGACAAAATATGTGGAAATTATGTTTTCTATTTAATTATTAAAGTAACTTCACACATTGTTAATTACACTTGAGGTAAAGACACATTCTTTCAGTAAGATCAGAACTATTAGAACCAAACGTAAGCAGCATTTCTAAACTTTATACTTTTTCTACCCTGAATCCCAAATTGTTTGATGAAAGGAAAATATTAACAGTGTCAATGACAAACCCAGTTACTAATATATGTCTATGTTACATTGGAATATAAATAACATTAAAGAAAAGCAGCTTCTCATTGAAGTCTTAACTCTAGAATAAGCAACACTTTCTCTCTGTAGTTTGTGTTGTGACTGGCACATCTACTGAGACCTTCATGAAGAGACTCAAACTCTGCATCAATGACTTACAGTATCAAACTCCACTTTCATCACTTTGGCAGATGCCAAAATGTTACACCTGTGTCATGATTCACACTTCCAAGTACCTGCCTGTAAACCCCAAACCTCTCTTTGTGTATTTTCTTTCTTCCCTTTCTCTACTGCACGCTTTGGTGCTTTTCGTGCCCATCCTGCAGCCGCACTCTCCTCGTCCCCCTCTCGCTGTGAGTGGGTGGGTGATAACATTACAATGTGTGTCAGATTTACTAGATTCAATTTTAGTTAAAATAAATGAATAAATAAATCTGCAAATCTGACTACACATCAAGCCATGTGTTACAGTTACTCCATTGCGTTTCCTAGCAGACGAGTACCAAACACTGTAAGATCTTCTCTTTCTATGCCCACATCTTCTCCACCTCATGGTACTCTCTTTTCCTTCCAATGTCTGCTTTAATTCTTCTTGTCCTGTAATCATCTCTATGCCTCCCTCTCATCTCCTCTGTTTTTTTCTCCCTTTGGTAACCAGACTTTGGCTCTCTCCTATAACCACTGCCCTAGTGCTTTCAGAGGGAAAAGGGAGAGAGGAAAGGAAAAAAATAGACGATACAGATGAAAAGCACACAAGTTCAGACGTGGCACTGCATATTTGTAGCAGAACGCTTTTTCTTTTTCTTCTGTAGTTCTAAGAGACTACTGTAAAACCTGATTTCATCAGCAGAGAGATATTTTAATTCGACGCCAGCTTCAATCGGCTGGATGGGTTTTGAAAAAGTTTGGGCACATA